TGTTCTTGCTGGTTTTCATTCCAAAGAACTCCCTTTAGGATATTTTGAAGTACTGGATTGGCTTTGACAAAATCTCTCAGCTTCTGTTTATCCTGCAATGTTTTGATTGCACCATCGTATTTGATTGACAGTTTTGCTGGATAGACAATTCTTGGTTGGCAGGTTTTTTTCTTATAGGGTTTTATGTACATCTCCTCATTGCCTTCTTGCCTGCATGGTTTCTACTGAGAAGTGAGCTTAATCTGATTTGCTTGGCTTTGTAGGTAACACTTCTCTTTTCCCTGGCTTTGATTCTCTCCTTGTCTTTGATTTTGGAGAGCTTGGTTATAATATATCTTGGTGATTTTCTTTTAGGGTCTATCCTTCCTGGGGTTCATTGAGCATCTTGAATGTTTATCTTCTCATCCTTCAAGATGTTAGGGAAATTTTCTTCCAGTAATTCCTCAACTATCTCCTCTGTGAACTTCTGTGATTCTTTCTGTTCTGGAATGCCAATAATTCTTAAGTTATTCCTCTTCATATTATCCAACATGAATCTTAGACCTTCTTCAGACTTTTTAATCCTTTTTTCTGCTTGCTTTTCTATCTTTGCAGTATTGATCAATTTGTCTTTTAACTCACTGGTTCTGGCTTCCATCTCTTCAGTTCTACTCCTTTGCCCTTTCAGTATATTGTCCATTTCTGATATTTTATTATTAATCATGCGGACCTCTTTTTGCAGGTTTTGAATTGTTTCCAATGCTGTACCTATCTTGTTTGATTACTCCTGTAGCACTTTCCTAACTTCTTCCTTATTTTTCTCGACTCCTTTTTGGAGCATTTGAATTTGTTTCCATATCATTCTTCTGAATTCCTTCTCAGGCAGATCCAAAGCCTGTTCTTCTACTGGAAAACCTGTGTCTGCCTCTAGCTCATTTGTCTAAGTTACTCTTTTCTGTTTTTGGACAGGTGTTGAGATCTTTTGTTGTGTTTTCCTGGACATTTTCAGTAGTTATGTGGGTTTTTAATGCTTAAATGGATGTATGTTGCTGTGTTGTTAAGCTTACTGAGAGTCTCCTGGCAGATATGATATGGAGATAGACTTCCCTTTTCACATATAATGTCTAGCAGCTGGTATTGGCTCTTGTCCAGATGGTGGGATATTATAAGGTATGCTTGTAGCTTGGCTATATGAACACAATTGCTGTCTCTTCTTGGGTACGGTAGGGGAAGAAAGCTCCCAGCCCCAGGAAAAGAGTGAGACCAAACGGACCAAAAACCGAAACAATATAAAAGCAGAGACAAAAATCATCAAGAAAAAAACAAAAATAAAATCACAGTCGACTATCCAGTGGCCTTTGCTATGCAGGCAGGGATAAAGGGTCCCACCCAGGTCAACTTTAGTTTTGGGTCCCAGAGTCAGATGTCATAAGAAGCAGCTTGCAGGACTCTACTCTGTGCCGTGGGAAGACTGCAGGTACAATGCTGGGCCCTTTTGGGGGTGTACTCCCACCTGCCTGAAGGCTTCTGGGCTGGGCAGTGATGGCACAATTTGAGAGAAGAGGAAAGATAAGTGAAAAATGAAAAATCAGTCACACCTCTCCCTCCAGCCGCAGCTCTGCAGCTTCTAGTTGGTTTTCATTCCAAAGAACTCCCTTTAGGATGTTGTGAAGCACTGGATTGTATCCAACTGTCACATTATTGGTGAATAATTATTGATAATTAGTCATCAATATTTATCAGTGCATCTTGATTGCATGTTTGATCAATTTCAGATGGAAGAAGTTGGTTGAATTCTTCAAATTCTTTATCACTGGCTTTGGTGGTTGGTGCATATTTGAATAATAGTCATATTAACTGGTCTGCCTGGTAGGTGTATGGATATTATAATATCACACACAGCATTGTACTTCAAGATAGATATTGAAATGTTCTTTTTGAATATGAATGTGACACTAGCTCTCTTCGATTTGTCATTTCCAGCATAGTAGACAATATAATTGTCTGATTCAAAATGGCCAACACCTGTCCATTTCAGCTTACTAATGCCTAGGATGGACTTCTGGTGTGGCACTGTAGGATCAGCACAGGACTGCAAACCCCAAGGTCGGCAGTTTAAACTCACCCCTGTTCCTCAGAAACTCCTTACAGGGTCGCTATGAGTCAGAACAGACTCAATGGCACTTAACAAAACAATGCCTAGGATACCAATCTTTATGCACTCAGTTTCATTTTTGAAGACTTCTAATTTTTCTAGATTCATACTTTGTACATTCTATATTCTTATTGTTGATGGATATTTGCAGCTGTTTCTTCCATTATGAGTTGTGTTCCATCAGCAAATAAAGTCCCCAAATCTTTGCTCCATCGATGTCATTAAGGTTGACTTTACTTTGAGGAGGCAGCTCTTCCCTAGCTGTAGGCATCCATCCTGAAGCACATATCTAATGGCATTATATTAGATAATATTCTGTTGCCATCCATAATGTTGGAGTCCCAGCATGGTGCTGTAGAATAAGCACTGGACTATTAACCACAAGATTGGTGGTTCAAATCTACCAGCTGCTCCTTGGAAACCCTATACAGGGCCTCTATGAGTCAGAACAGACTCGATGACACTTAACAACAATAGTTCATAAGGTTTTCATTGGCTAATTTTTCACAAGTGGTCTTCTTGTTTCTTATTCCTAGTCTGTCTTAGTCTGAAA